GCTTAGACTCAGATAAACATCTGGTTGTATCTAAAGCTTTAAACTGGAGAATGCATCTCAGCAAAAACTAATAAAAATGTTCTGGAGTTCAAACATTACAAAAAGCAGCTTTTCTTGCAATATAGTGTCACCTCACTTAAACAAAAGACTTAGAAATGCTACCTAACCTTTCTGTTTGCAGCAACTTACCTCCTGACAGGATCAGTGCCCTTTATTTCTGAGGCTCACAAATTGGTGTTTGTACTGCCTGCTGTGTGTGAAGAGATCTTTTAAAATAACCAGAACTTCAGTTTCACCAAAGGAGTTCTCTTGATGCACTTGCTCTTTCCTTCTTTTTTTTCTTTTTTTTTTCCTTTATTTTTTTCTTTTTTTTTTTTCTTTTTTTCTTTTTTTCTTCTTCTTCCCCCCTCACGTGCCTACTTTTATGTCTTTCATTAGTCCGGTTCAGTTTCCAGAAGGCATCAGAGTCTGTGGTACGATGACAGAGCTTCAGATAGAGAGAATTATAAGAAAATTCAAGGATGAAAATGTTGAATTACTGACAATGTGTAACAGATCACATGAAACTGCTTTTGTACCTGAGGACTCAAAGGTGGCATATGTGATGCAGGTTTTTAAAACCTATTCCATGGAGAATGTAAGCTTTTGGGTGGCATAGTTTTGTCAGGCAAATTAATAGAATCCTCAATAAGAATAGTGTAAGAGGACATCTCATACTGTAGACTGCATCTGAAGTGCCAACATAATATTTTTATGATATTTTTAGAAATATTTTTATTTTAATATTTTAATATTTATTAATTTATTTATTTTTATATTTCTTATTTTTTAATATTTTAATATTTTTAGAAATAATTCCCATCTCTTCGTAGAGGTCAGCAAATGTGAATAAGGATATTTTAACGGGCATATTTTGAATTATCAAAAGGGTTTTTGCAAAACCCCTTGGCAAAAACTTTTAAGAAAACTAAATTGGCCTAAGAGGATTCTTGCATGCCACAAAGATAATTGTGAGGTAAGTGAGGGAGTTTACTAATGGTGAAGTTTTCCAAAGTAGTAAGGACAAAGAAAGACCAAAACTTTGTGAAAGACCTTACTGTGAGTGAAAAGCCAGACAATAAATGGTTGGTGAAGTTCTGTCTAGATAAATAAAAGTGATGCACATGCAAGGAAGAACACAAAACTTTGCCTGGGAAGTATTGTGCTATAAATTGGCCATTAATATTAGGGAGTGAGATTTCAGGTTTATAATAGTGATTCCATGGAACCATCAGCTCAGAGTTCAGTAATAATCCACTCTGAGTATTGTATATTGTTCCTGTCCATGCCTTCAAAATACTTGATTGATTTTGTTAAATTGTGGTAGAATTGAGAAGGGTACGAGGATGCTCAAAGGAACAGAACAGTTTCCATGCACAGAATGACTAAGCAACAGAGACAGAACTTATGATGTGGTATAGGCTTATGAAATGGAATTGCATGGAACTACTTTTCCACAAAAAGAATGGTTTCTTGACACAGCACATTGTAGGCATTGGAATTCAATGCAAAAAGTGCAAACTGTTTTACATCAGTTCAAGGGATGACTGTGCAAGAGAAAGTCACTGGGATTTGCCAAATACACAGAAAATACTTGGCTCTGGAAAATTTTTGGTGGAAAAATATACAAACCTTGCAAAAATAGTTTGGGGAAATACAACGTATGTTTATGCTGCTGCTGTTCTGTTGATAACTGCATATGATTGTTTTAAGGGATACAACAATAGCATAGGTAGTGCTTCAGTAGAGTTTAGCAGTTCTTTGCCTTTGGATTGTTTGGTTTTACATTTGCTTTTTTTAGGTACTTGGAAAGTCATTGTCACCAATCGCATTAGCTGTAGAGTATTCCTCATGTTTATATGATTTGAAATCAGGACATAGTAGTGGTAGGTTATTGCAGAAAGCTGTCCACATTCTGTTAGTGCTTGCTCACTTCAGTATTTTGGGTTTTTTTAAGAAGATTCATTGCAAAAAGATAGTATCTTCAACTTTGTTAGAAAGACATTTTTAAATTTAACTTTTCATTACACTAATGGAAATAGGAGAATGAGACTAAAAGGTTGTTAAACTTAGTTACGGCTTCCAGAGCACTGAGAATTGCTTTATTAATTTCTCCTGTAGCATAAACAGCATAGTGCATATTTTTATTAACATTTCTGGTAGATGCTACTGTCTGTCATTATTTTGTTTTATTCAACAGTTTTTTAAATATTGGTGCATAGTATGCTGTGGCATTTCCCAATATGTACCTCAACAAATTACTCTCTTCCTCTTTCCTACTTCTTTCCTTACTCCCTGCAATGAAGGGGATAATTTTATGTAGTGATCTGACATCAGTTTACCCTGCAGCATTAATCTTCTGACAGAGAGATACTATTTTAGTTTTCCAGCATGCTGTAATCCACCCCTGTTTCTGATATATTTAAAACCTATTAATTGTTAATGTTGCACTTCTTGAATTCTAATCATGACCAGGTTGACTACATGTGGGGCTCTGGTTTGGGAAGGATCATTAACTGTTCCCCTGGGGATCCCCATAGGTACTTTCTAGAGGCAGCATGAACTGTATTATTTGTGTAGATTTTGTCCTTGTGCTGCCACATCTGTTTGAAATGGGGACTTTGTGGGTAGTCTGCATTGTATGGTTTTGAGCTGCATTGCCTAGTGCCAGCACTCTGGATTGTTACTGGGGATGCACAGAGGAGTCATTGATCACTGCTGCTTTTTTCCCTTTTTATTTCTTTAAATGGAATTGCAATGCTAGTGGGTATTTTTGCTATTTTTTCCACTGACCTCAGACACTTCAAATGGTAGAGGTACTTCTCAGCATTACTCTTTTGTTCTAGGATACATGGTATAACAATTAGTAGTTAAGTTGGAATACAAAACATACTTTTCAATTTAGAAAAAAACCCCACAGTTATCCCCTAATGATACAGCAATGTTTTAATATTTTAAATGTAGTAATATAGATTGACTGCCATATCCATTATAAAATGGATGCTCAACAAACTTTAATCTGCATATATAATTGTTATATATCATGCAGGGTGATTTAATAAATGGTACAAGTCAGAAACAGAACTTCTTTATTACATTTTAACCTTTTGAACTTTGGACTGTCACTATATTCTAGAAACAGAGGAAGAAAGAAATAATTACATTTGTTTTAGGCATTTCTTTAGACTTTATCACATTCATTGTAACAACAACATTTTATTGTAGGTAGTGTTTTTACTTCTATAATTGTCTTATATAACCCTATGGCAATAAAATACAGTATTTAATGGCAAAAGCTGATAAAAATCATATCATCGCTCCAGAAGAAAATTTTAGCAGTGACATTTACCTAGGTGTATATTTGATTTAAAGGAATCTAGCAATAAACCTGTGTACCATAGTCCAAAAATCTGTTTAGTGTTTCAAATTATAAGAAAATATTTTCTTAGGCAGATATGCAATAAATTTTTCTTGAATTTGTGTACTTATTTGCATGTACATATATGTGAAGAAAATCCTCATTAGTGCAGGCTTCTCTTGAAGCTTAAATATGTACTAAGAGAAAATTATAGCCTTTATGCTCAGGTTCAGAAAGTCTGGAAGCAGCTAATTTGGTGTTATAATTCTTTAATGAGTCAGTAAATCCAGCTTTTCTCTCTTCCTTTTGTAAGTCAGCTTAGTATCGACTATGTGATGTGTACCACCCAAGATTGAACAGCCAATTTGATTTCTTGAAATGCTGCTGTAAAGAGGAAAAAAAAAAATAAATCATTCACCGTGACTGCAAAGCAAGCTTCAGAAAAAGATAACTTTATAACAAATGGAACTGTTTCCTCCTGTGCTGGTTTAAAAATAAGGTTGAGAAATAAGCACTTGTCTTTTCTTATAGAATGCTAGTTTTTGTCCTCTCCTCTTCAGAATCCATTTCTCATCTCAAATAAGGACAGAGGACCACACGTGCACAGATGCTCACATAATAATTTGGCTGAAAGGGACCTCAAAGATCATCTGGTCCAACCTCTTGCTCAGAGCAGGATCAGCTGCGAGATCAACCAGATATTCTATTTGAATAAGAAATATATGTTTGATTATTTTTTGAGTCAGGAAATTAATTTTAATCTGTATCCATGACGTATCAGGAAAATTGCAACAGAGCTCTCTCAGATCTTGAGGCTGTTCTAAACTGGTGACCAACAGGAGTCCTGGTATTTAGAGAAGATGTAGTTAGTTCCCAGTTCCTTAAAATGTTCAGTGCTTCACTTACCTCACGTTTTTCACAGTGCTAGAATGTTTTCTGAAGCACATTAACTTCAATATCTTTTCCTGGTGCAAACACTACCTACATTCTCCTGCAAACTTCAGGCTTCCCATGGGCTTTGTCACTCAGCAGTTCTGCATGGAAATGTTTGGGAATTGTGACATTTTTGCCCAGCAAATGGTGTTTCTCATAGAGTCTGCAAAGGACCTCCTCTCACAAAGAGGTCTCTAGAAGACAAGATTTTCCAAATAAGTGCTGGTATCTAATGGTTCTGTTGGGTCAACAGGTGATAGGTGAGGACTCTCAATGAGCTGTTTGCAATTTGGAGTTGATAGTGGGACCTTGCAGCATGGAAGATGTGCAGGGCTGGAGAGGAACTATTTAGTAGCCTGGGGATGGCAGCAATAATGGAGCTTTTCTTCATAAGCTCTGGCATGCTACTAAATTCCTTAACTTATGTTAAATCTAATTATTCTGAGGGCTGAAATTGTATTTACTCCTGTTTATCTAAAACAAAAAAAACAACCAAACAAAACCCAAAACAAACAGAAAACCAAACAAAAACAAACAAAATAAAACCTGAACACAGACACACAAGAAATGGAAGTTTTGTCTTCTGCTTTCTTTGCTGTTATTTTTTATTTTTCTTCTGTACTGTATATTGCCCTAAAAAGTTGTAAATTTATTATTATTTGTTCTCCAGATGGATCCTGTGCAAAAAGCAGTCATAAACCACACATTTGGAGTGTCCATTCCCCCAAAGAAGAAACAAGTAATTTCCTGTAATGTCTGTCAGCTTCGCTTTAACTCTGATGTGAGTATTGGCTATTTTCATTCCTTTTTTTTGGGGGGGGGTGAGTGTGTACATTAGGTATAATTAATCTAAACATCTTTTTCTCAAACAAATCGATAGTTCTGCCTGTATTTGCTCAGCTTGCTGGGCTGATATTTTGTCCACTCAGAGGTGGAAGTCTATAAAGGTACATCATTCTCTGATTTTCTTGAATGAGTCTGGCTCAATATCCAGTGCCACATCCATGAACAATATCCCATTGGCAGTCCAGTAACCTTCAAAAGGTACTTACAGAAATGGGTTTGTTTTGTTGGTGGTGGTTGTTTATAAGAAGCTTCCCTGTGACTTCTCAGGACTTCGAGGTTCTGGAGACGGTGCAGAGAAGGGCAAGTAGGCTGATTAGAGGTCTGAAGAACAGGTCTTATGAGGAAAGGCTGAGGGAGCAGAGGCTGTTCAGCCTGAAGGAGGCTGAGGGGAGACCTCATTGCTCTCTACAACTACCTGAGAGGAGGTTGTGGTGAGGTGTTTTGGCCTGTTCTCCCTAGTGGCCAGTGACAGAACAAGAGGATATGAGGTTAAGCTGCACCAGGGAAGGTTCAGATTGGATATTAGGAAAGATTTATTGACAGAAAGAGTGGTGAGGTGTTTGAACAGGCTGCCTAGGGAGGTGGTAGAGGCGCTGTCCCGGGAGGTGTTAAAAAAATGGGTGGACATGGTGTTTCAAGAGATGATTTAGTGGTTAGAGACTGTAGGGCAGATGGTTGGACTGGATGATCTCGAGGGTCTTTTCCAACCCTGATGATTCTATTTTTCTATTTCTTTTGGATAATTAAAAAATGCATTACAAAAGAGGACATCTACTGATAATGTTCCAAATATACATCCATTTAATGTTTTTCCTGAGAAGATTAAAAATTAAAGAAATTTAAGAAAACTATATCTAAGAAAATTATGACCTTTGACACTTTAAAAACATTTGTTCTTGGAGAATACTTACTAATGTCCTTAAGCTAATTTAAAAAAAGGAGAAATGTTCAGGTTTTTTTGTTGATCTCAAGTGTAAGAACAAATCCTTAAATGATGTGTTATGCGTATTTTGCTGCTACAATTTCAATCTAAGAAATAGTTTGCAGACATCTCCTCAAAGCCATCAAGTTCGTTGTTCAGCTAGAGATTTGCAGTGAAGCACCTATACATGTTGCTCTGTTTTCTTTGCCTCTAGCGTTCCACCCTGAAAATGTCCTGTAAGTGGTTTCCCCAGTTTGGCTTTCTTGTCTTTGCTGGTATGGATTTTGAAGCAGTGCTGTTTTACCTTCAAATTTATTTTTAAATTTGTCTTATTTTGACAAGCTTATTAAACTTCCTTTGAAGTGGCAATATCTACTTAATTAAACTGATTCCAAAAGTCATTATTTAAAATTTAGTTCACTCATCTTTCCTCTCTAAGGTTAAGATGCAAAAAAAAAAAAAGCTTTCTGCTCTGATACTTGGCTCAGATACCTACTTTTATTGATTAAAACAAGGAAGCAATAAAGTTATTTTTTAAAATTTCCCTGGACTCCGTAGATCTGAATCTTGATTTTGAGCTGGACCCTACTCTCTAATCAGGGAGGCAGCTCAGCCTGTTCCTGGAGGAGTCACTCACTTTGTATGACATTCAGGTGGGCAAACAGCACTTGAGGCAGATTGAATCACAGTTTAGTGTCTCAAAACAGAAAAAGAGCTGAAATATATAATTTCTTGCATCTGCCAACCAAGCATTTTTTTCTATCTGCACTTGCTGCGTATCTACTTACTGACAGCAGAGCACAAAGTGCGTAATTTATTCTGCTTTCATTAGTAGCATCACAAAAGCATGCTGGATTATAGCCTTGTTTCTTCTTCTGGGGTGGGCATATTCATAGGTGTCACGCTCCTTTCTAAATGTGATCAATAAGCTCAGCTCTAGTTACTAGAAAATATCATAATTCTTTTGTAATGGATTGTTGAAAGAAAAGATGAAACATCATGACTGTGATACTGTTGGTGAAAAAATGCAGTTCCTTAACTTCTACAGCAAGTTTGCTTTACCAGGGCATTCAAAAACAAAGTGGAAATTTGATTCTAGAATGAGGTAGTGTTATGTTTAAGTATTTTCTGGTATTATTACAGTTAAGTTTCACAAATATTTCATAACCACATAACAAAGAAATACTTGGATAAAAAGTTTTCATAATATAGCATTTCTATTTTAAAAGCTATTTAGCCTTTCATCAGGTTATTCAGCTTCTCCTGGGAAGCTTACATAAGATTTTAAACCTTTTCTTCAGGTTCCATTTTCTGACCTTAGGAGTTCTTTATCTATGTATTGCCTTTTTTAATCCCTGAGAGACTGAGATCTTATTTTGGTCCTTTTGTAATGTGACATTATGCTTATGGGATGGAATGGTCTTTACAATCCCTTCTGTGTTAGAGCATCAGGGAAAAGGGAGTCAGGTATTTGTGAACCTTGTAGCTGTTGAATCTTTCAGTGAATCTTTTCCACCATGTGACATCCTAAGAATGTATTGAGCACCTTTCGGGTGGCATCAAACTGTGATAACCTGCATTAAGACCTTGAGCATAGCACACTGCAGAATGAGATTTGTAGTACAGGCACTTCACAATAACAGTTTCTTTTAGCTCTACAAGTCTGACATGCTCCTTGTTAAAGATTCTGATCTGATCTAGTAATGCTTTACGTATTGCATGAGTAACATGGCACAGTGGCTGTTCATCTGTGAGAAGAAAAGTATTGGTTTCCTTGCCTGCAATCTTTTCCTCACACTGTGGACACTCAGTGGTCTGGATCAATAGAAAAAAAAAAATTAAAAAATCAGACTAGTAAATTTATAGTTGTCAAACCTCCTACTAAATTAATACAGTAAAGTGCATGGGTTTCAGTTTTCTTCTGCTAGTGTCTGCAGATTTAGTTTGGTGAGAGTGTTCTGGCATCAGATTCACAGGCAAGGATCTGCAGCTACCTGAAGGAAATGAAAGTCTGATATGAAGGGTGGAAGTGAATTTCAAAATAGGTTGTCTCCAATATGGGAGTCAAGATATCTAACGTTGAAGTGATGCTTCATATTATATGAATTATCATATTATATGAATTATCATATTATAACTTGAACAGGGTGTTTCCTAACTAGTGATGGGTTTTAACTTCTATTTAGACATTTGCCATCATACTCTGTATGTTTTATAGAATCCATAATCTGCAATTTGGTCAGTTTGGAAGTTGTGGTTTTTTGCTAATAAATTCTGACACAAGCAGTTTGAGCACCCTTTCTAAGCTCTGTCAGCTCCAGGAGAAACTGAAGTACAGAAGACATGATCCAAAGTCCCAAGAAACAGAAACATAAAATGCCATCTCTGTCAAGTAACACAAAACTAAAGTGGTTTCAATAACCTTAACTTTCAGGTTCTTGAATGGGAATTTTATCTGTACTACTGGTATTAACCTGACTGCAGTGATAACTGAGGTTGCTTCAACAATATTTTTTGCATTATCTAGTTAAGATGCTCTAGCTGATACTTAGGGTGGGATAAGGTATCTGTGACATCCATACAAGGCTGGTACACCTCACAGAGAACCTGCAGTTGGAAGTCAGACAAGACACCTGAGGACATTCCAAATTGAACTTGGATACCTGTTTCTAGAACTGTATCCCCAGTCATTAGATTTGCCTTTTATTTTCTTTTTCTTTAATTCTTCTTTTTTTATTTTCCTTTTTTTTTTTTTTTTTTTTAAGACTAGAGTGTGAGAAGCAGGATTTTGTAAGGAGAAAAAGAATTTAAAAAATAGAAGAAAGGTAATTGACATCAAGATTATACCAGAAAAGTGGAAAGTTAGTTAGCACACTCAATAATTAAAGGGAAGTGAAATGGCAAAAAAGGGAGATGTGAACAGAGAAAAGGGCCTTTTCCTAAACTGATTTTTAATGACAGATATCAGGAGTCAACTGCTGTTGAATTAAGCTGGAAATCTCTATCCTTTATAAATTTTATACTGTTATGCAGAGGAACACACATTTTTAAAACCTGTTTAAAAAATAAATAAATAAAGGCAAAACCATCCATCAAGTTACTGTTGAGTTTGCTTCAGTATATTAGAATAATCATAGGTGTTTCCATCTTTGCATCAAAATATTTGTTTAACACCATTTTATCTTTTAATTTCTACATGATGATGTAGTAATATGTGTTCCCCTGCAGCAATGACAAGAGTGTCAGCAAATTTCAAGCTTCAGTCTTACACGTTATGATCCAGCTCAGAAAAAAATGAGAAGTATCTTAATTATGTTTCCTACCACCAGAGACCATGCAGCAGAAGAGGAAGAATCCTTTCCATGGAACACATTGTGGTAATGATTCAGGTTTAACACTTGCTTAAAGGCCACCAGAGCAAGGGATGTAGCTGTATTCCAGCAAGAGGAAGCAAGACAGGCTGAGAAGGATCTAGCTTAGCCTTAGAAAAAAATGATGGTTTGTTGTTTGTTTTTTTTCTTTTAAGAATTCTGGGATTCGTTCCGAACACATGGTATATCTATGTGGACTATAGATAAGATTTGCTAGATAAATTTTCATATTACATAGGTCTGGCTTGTTGATATTAATTATTTATATTGCAGTCATTCTAGCAGAAACAAAAAGCAGCTTGAGTTTGCTAAGTCCTCATGATACCCACAAGAGTGTCCAAGAGCAATAGGGCTAGTGTAAAAATGGCTGTTTTCTATCCCACATAGATTCCTTCTCTACCATTTCTTGGCTCATTCTTTCTCATTCCTTGTGGCCACCAGATGAATCTGCAGCATCTCTTGCATCTGCTGTGTGGCAGTTAAGTCCCTCTGGCATCTGTGGTGCTTTGGCCACTGTCCCCATGATGATTGTGTTATGGCATCTGACGCTGTATCTTGCAGCCATAAGAGAAAAGTGTGTTGCAGTTGCAAGGACACCTGTTTGTCCTCTGCAGAATTTTCCCCCATATCTATGAATCATCA